ATGCTGATCAAAGGTGAAGACGTTTATTTAATGAATCAAAATTATGGTGAAATCTGGGTCTGTCGTTAAGCAGGAAGAAGACAACAGCTACGACAACATCACTCAAAATTTTGCAAATTGTATCAGATTGACGGAAGCAAGTTTGCAAATTTTATGGATCTGGGGAGACAGAACGAAGAGGGAAGAAGAATGGTAGAACTCGAGGAAGATGAAACGTTCTTGACTTCAATGCAAATTACGTAAAACAATTTTTTTTGACCTTTTTTTTCTTAAGTGGACAGGTGTTCTTCTCTTAAATTCCATAATTTGTTGTTATTGGTGGAATATCCACCTTTGGTCTACCGATGTAGCCGGACTTGTGATGTTCGACGTCCATATCTACGTGGCAAAGACACGAGAGAGTTTTTTGGTTTCTTCTGTACTTTTGTTCTTTGCTTGTTTGGAGAGAGATAAGTGTAAGATAAATTAGATGCACATTGTCTATATATATATATATATATATATGGAAATGCCATTGTAATATATGAAGATGACGCCATAAGTAAAATTGTATTAACTATATGATGTTAAATTAGAACGTTTTATAATGCTTATACAATAATCATACATAGCTCATATTTCAACTTTTATATTCTTATTTTTCATTCAATTTGGATGCAAGTAATATGAGATCCGATTGAAATTGACCAGAAAATATCTTTTTGAAAAATTATATTAGAAATCTTATTAAAAAATATATTTATAATGTCTATAATAATCCATAATTCGGATAATATGGGGTATCTGATTTCATTCAGCTATTACCTAATTTCCATGGGTGTCAAATATTTATTTAATGAGTGATTTACTATATACCTAAAATCAATTGGGTAAGAGTATTTTGGGTCTGTATGGTTCAAATTTTTAGGTATAGGTTAAAAGTCTTAGGCAAGAAGCAATATACATTTATATTTCTACCGCGTTAACATATTTGAAAAAATATAAGAGAAAATATTTACAAAATTTAAATGACAATTAAAATATAAGTAACAAAACTTTGTAATAGTCACAACCCGCGCATCGCGCGGACTTAGCCCTAGTGATAATAAAGGTGAAATATGGGGCTGGGTTGGAGATGCTCTCAGGACATCTTCAATGTATTGCCCCATATTTGACTCCAAAATGAAGAAATCTCAAAATGGAGTTGGGTTTTGCTCCAATGTATTGCCTCATTTTTTACTTCAAAACTTTTTATTAATTACTAAATTTACATTGTATATTTATATATATTACAAATTGCCCCATAATTTTTTTTTCTTCAAAAATTTCACAATTTATTATAATTATTTAAATTAATTATGAAAATATTAATAATACATTATTACAAGACTAAAAATAACAACACAAACTTGATCAATAATAGTTGTTTTAATAAATTTATTTTTGATGTTATTTCTAATAAACAAAATTTCCTTTCTATTTAAATTTATTATTACCTTAAATAATTAAATTTTCTATTACATATGTGTTATTTTTATTTTAGAGTAAAAATATACATCAAAATAATTAATTATATATAAACTAAAATAATTTAAAACTTCAAGGACTGTTATATAATTTAAAAACTTCAACTCCAAAATGGAGATGAAAATGGGATCAACCTCAATTTGGGAAAAATATGGCATTTTGCCATTTTGAAATTGAAAATGGGGTTGGGTTGGAGAAAAATTGACTCCAAAATGACAATAAAAGTGAAATATGGAGCTGGGTTGGAGATGCTCTCAGTTAAAATATGTGCAAATCAATTTTATGAACTTCAAAGTCACCTGCAATATAGACACTTTATATATTTGTAACAAAATTTAATAATAATTTGTGAAAAAAAACCTGTGAAATAAAGTTTTTTTTTTCAAATCTAACCATTAACTTATATATTAAAAGAGGAACATTGAAGAACTATTTTGCTGATGTGTCAGAACCACAATTTTTATGAGCTATTTTATTTTTGATATATTTATTCTCTTATTATCATTGTCAAACATAATTATCTTCATTGTTACATATTTTGATTACTCTAATACCTATTTCCAAACACATTTGAATATTTTTAAACTTACCATAAATATTTATTTCGAAAATCTAATATTAAATTCTATATATTAAAAAGGGAATATTAGAGGAGAAAATGTATTTTCACTCAAAATATATTTTAACAATAAATTTAATTTTTAAGAATATTTGTTTGTTATTAAATAAAAAATAAAAACTTTTATTTAGAATTATTTACGAGTGAAACACATTCTTATACAAAAAACCACAAAATTGAATATACATAATCAATAGTTCAATACCAATAGTTACATATAATAATTTTTCACTATAGTTGACTTTCAACTAAAACTATAAAACCATTTTTAAATTATTTCACGGGTAAAACACATTTCTATAGAAAACAGTAATAAATTTGAATATATATACAAGTGAATCTTAAACTTCATATAATAATTTAAACTTCCATTTGGCTTTTAACTAGAAGTATGTATATGCTAATATTAAATTAAAAAAACAGATATATGCTTACAAATATACCAAAACAGTTATTAAAATAATTAACGATCAACATTGAACCGTGCAATAGCATGCACAGGTATTATCCTAGTATTATACTCCTTTCGTTTCAATTTAGTTCTCGGATGATTTTCTGGGTTGGAGACGTCTTCTTTTATAGCCGCGCCGAAACTCTTGTTGGTTTAGTTTCCATGTATCTCTTCTATGTTTACTTTTTACCAGAATGTCATATTTCCTTTTGTTCTGATATTTTCCTCTTTGCAATCTGGTTACTGTGAAATCCTCTTTTGTAGAATTGTTTATACACTTGGCTTTTATTTTGAGGCTTCTTTTGTTCTTTTTTGCTCACAAGAGTTTTGCAATCTGCTTCTTGTTCTCCACCAACATAATTGATTTTAGACTTGGCTCATATGCTTGTAGCCTTCTATTCTTCTTTCTAGACATACCATAGAGGTGTATTTTTGAAAATTGACACCTCAAGAGGTGTAGTTTTGAAATTTCCCTTTTTGTTGATGATATGAGAAGAAACTCAAAGACCGGTGGTCTAATAGTGTGGAGAGACATCACAAGTTTATAATATCCAAGAAGAAGTCTCAAAGATAGAAGGTCCAACAAATTATGACTTGTGGAGAATTGCAAGCTCCAACATCAAATTAATATGAACATTATATGGATTTCTCTTCTAATTATTGATATTTTAGTTCGTAATAGGTATTTTTATCAGAGTTTCATATAATATAAATACAAATATGGTATTACTATTATAAATACATAACTTCTCAAAAATTTAAAACCCAGAAAAATCGTAAATAAAAATAATTTGGCAGAACAATTTAAGGAATCTATTACAGATTTCGAAAGTTATAGTAAATTTTCAAGGATAATTCTTTACACTAAAGCCAAAAAAAAAAAAATCAGGGATAAATAATAGATAGCGTTTTTCCGGATAAGTGTATTGGGTTATGGTGTGTAATAAAAAAATCCTAGCACTTAAAATGAAGCAACTGTATTATTATAAAAACTAGGGATTAAAGCTCCGCGCAAGCGTGGGGTTGTTTACGATAATTTTTCTGTTTGATTTTATTTATATTCATTGATTTGAAATTTTGAATTATGATGGTTATATGTTAACTTATATGTTTTGGTTATATTTTGAGTTAACCCAACAATTAACACTAACAATATGATCATTTTTTTATTAAGATATTAACACCTTACTTCATCTCGAGTTTTCTATTTCTAAAATTTAATATGCATTTGACTCAACGTTAAAATTTGTAAACATGTGTAGAATCGCAATTGCACTCAAAATATGATGAAAAATAAAAACATGTATAACTTCTTACATATATGCTTTGTTGTGGTAGCATAGTTGATTATTTTCTATTATGTTAGTTTTGTAAATATAAATTGTATTTTTGAAACAAACATGTCACCATTCTTAAAATTTTCATGCTTTTCGTTGCAATGAAATTTAAATAATAACTCGACTTCTATTTTTTAATAAAACAAACTCTAACTCTAATTTTTTATTAGCTTTTTACTATGTTAAATAATTTATACTGTACTTTTTTACTTGTAAGCACATTATAACATTTTTAAATAGGATAAATCCTTTGAGTTAAAACTAAATAGTTAAATATTTCTTTATTTCATCTCCATTTTATATTACAACTTTCTTTTAACTTTTAACATCAAGATATCACATACTTTATATTAATCAATTAAATTGTTTGTGTATTTTTCTTAGTTTTGTTTATGTGTAAAATAGAATATATATAAAGAAATATTAATACACATATATTAAATATCTTAAATACAATTAATGATTTTTTTGCTGATGTGGATAGCTTAGGAGGAGAGAGCAACTCTCCTATTATATATAAGATCAAGTACACAGCCAACTGTTAGCTGTCTTGAATTAAAAGAGCTAATCCACATGTTTATCATAGTAAGCAGAATCTTTTCAATAGTTTCCGGAATTTCAAATCTTATATATAATTAGGATTTGTCAGCGTTTTCAATTCGGAATATTATAGACGCAAATATTTGTTAAACCGAGATGAGATCATAAATGCAACTCTCCCAACGTACCAAGATGAGATCATAAACCGACTTGCCTATAAAAATACGTCAATGCAACTCTCCCAACGTACCAAATTATCGACCATCGAAGCAAACATCAACACGATATCTAGTAATCTATCTCTCCTCTCAGTCTCGTTATATATATAGTACATACCTCAAGCATCTACACGATATCTTTCTATATCTTATCCTTCAGTTACTTGTGTTAAATTCCAAGTTTAATGAATATATATATATATATATATATATATATGCACATGTACGTATATAGATAGGATCATCGTTATGTGGAGATTAAAGATAGGAGAGGGAGACCGAGAAGATCCGTATTTGTTTAGCAGCAACAACTTCGTCGGACGTCAAACATGGAAGAAGCCGGCACACCAGAAGAACATGCCGCTGTAGAAGAAGCTCGCCGGAGTTTCTTGGACAACCATTCTCATGTTAAAGGTTGCGGTGATCTCTTGTGGCGAATGCAAGTAAGTATATATTCATTTATTTCTAATGAATAAAATGTCCTAAAATCCAAAGGAGTATTAACCATGGAACTTTTAATAAAGTCAATTTCTGTCAATAGATTCTCAAAGATTGTCTCAAGTTAAAAGAAAAAAAGAAAAAAAAAAACATGAGCCAGAATGTAGAATCGGTTGAGAACCCATAAAAATAAAAATCCCATTTGACACATGTTATTTAGTCTTTTTTTTTTTTTTTTTTTTTGTGTTAAAGGTTTTTCTGAAATTAAAAGAAATAGAACTACATAGTAGTAGCAGATTAATTTACAGGAAAAAAAGCAACAAGAAAGAAGAAACAAAGATCATCCAAAGATCATCTAGAACCATTAGAGAGAGACCATTTTTGGAGAATCAGTTCCCCATGAGAAGATCCCAAAATGTGCATAGCACGGCATTTGTCTATGGCAGAGGAGAGAATTAATCTGAACACATGTCCAGAAGAAAGTGAAAGTCCATCATGCATACGTCGGTTTCGTTCTTTCCAAATTTCATAAATAAATCCTTGCCATCCTTGAAGTAAAGCCAATCTTGTAGAGGCTTCTAAGCGATTAACCATGAGCCAATGTATTAGAGGGTTCCAACTGAATGGCACATTATAGAGGTGAAGGTGAAGGGTTAGTCTTCGCCATACCAAATTAGAGAAAGAGCACTCGAAAAACAGATGATCCCGAGTTTCAAATTCTGTTCCACAAAGAAGACAGATCCCATCAGTTTCATATCCCCAAGCGGACATACGATCCATTGTTGGGTTCCGATTCAGAAGAAAAAGCCAAGTCGTTGTTTGATGACGAGCAAGACCAGCTTTATGCCACAATAAAGAAGCCCATGGAACCACTGGTTTTGAAATTCTAATCTCATTCCACACCGATTTCGAAGAAAACGAACGCTGAGATGTGCCATTAACTAACCAGATTGGACTATCACTTTGAGAAGAGCAGCTAATGGTTAGAAGGTAGGAGTGGAGAGCAACCTGGCGTTATGTGCGTGCCGGAGGAAGAATCCATCCATTGTTACTCCAAACCTCAGAAACCGTCGCATAGAGAGGAATCCCCAACCGAGAAGGTCCTTCCTCACCTAGAAATGCATGCAAATGGCCAAAGGGTGTCCACGGATCCCCCCAGAAGAAAGTAGAGTCCCCATTGCCAAGTTTAATCCTGAGAAACTGAGTGGCTGTTGAACGAAGTTTCAAAATCTTCCTAAACATCCACGAGAAAGAATAATTCTTCTCGTTTAATGCCCAGAAAGAGGAAGAAGAGATATATCTTCGTCTAACCCAAGCAACCCAGATGGATCCAGCTCGGAAAAATAACATCCACAACAGTTTCATGACAGAGGCATTATTCCAGCTTTCAATATCTTTAACGCCCAATCCTCCTTCTTCTTTCGGAAACGATACCAACTTCCAAGAAACCTTTGCCCCAGAAGATATTCCAGTTTTCCCATGCCACAGAAAGGAGCTCGATAAGCTATTAATTTTCTTGATCACCTTCTTGGGAAGAATAAAGGCACTAGTCCAGAAACCTACAATGCCTGAGATAACTGAAGAGATCAAAGATAATCGGCCAGCAAGACTAAGAAGTTTGTTTGACCAAGAGTCAAACTTCTTTTGAATCAAAGTTAATAGTGGATCACAATCAGCAAAGGAAAGCTTCTTTGAGGAAAGAGGCAATCCCAAATACCGAATTGGAAGAGACGAGGCTTCCAAGTTAAACAAAGCTTTAATTCTGTCAAGAGAGTCCATGTCTACACCTTGGCAAAACATGGATGTCTTTTGGAGATTGATACCCAAACCTGATATCCTTTCAAAAGCAGAAAGAACAGAAAGAACTCCATGTAGAGAACGCTCAGAACCCTCTAAAAAGATAAGTAAGTCGTCCGCAAAGCACAAATGGGTTAGCTGAAGATCTTCACACCCTGGATGGAAATCAAAGGATCCTTCCACAGCCGCCTTATTGAGCATTAGGGATAAGACATTCATTATCAGGACAAAAAGGATGGGTAAGAGAGGGTCACCTTGTCTCAATCCTGTCTTCCCCTTAAAATAACCAGAGGTGATTCCATTAATACTCACTGAGAAAGATGGTGAGCAAACACAGCACTTAACCCATTTGATAAAGGCTGGAGGAAGTCTGTAAGCCTGAAGAACGCTCAAGAGGAAATCCCAACGAACTGAATCAAAGGCTTTTGAGATGTCAACCTTAAGAGTGATCCGCCTGTCACAACCCTCTCTATGATAGCCCTGCATGATCTCTGATGCTAAAAGGACATTTTCCAATAAAAGGCGATCCTTGACAAAAGCCGTCTGATTGGATAAGATGATGCTAGGAAGAATAATCTTGATTCTCTCCGTCAACAGCTTTGTAATAATCTTGTAAACCGTATTTAGTCAAGCAATAGGTCTAAAATCTTTCAACTCCTCTGCACCAGGTCTTTTGGGGATGAGAACTAGTGAAGTGGAATTCAAGGAGGTAGGCATGAAGTTTGATCGAAAGAAGTTAAGAACAGATGCTGCTACTTCTGAACCCAGAATATCCCAAGTAGCCTTAAAAAATTCCGCAGGAAAGCCATCTGGTCCTGGCGTCTTGTTGAGAGGCATCTTGAATAAGCATCGTCGGACCATCTCCACATTGAAAGGAAGGGAGAGAAAGCTTTGCTGAGTGGGAGAGCAAGACTTCATAATCAATGTGTCCAAATATCTTGGTAAATCCGGAGAGAAAACTCCACGTACAGTAGTGAGGAAGGTGGTGTAATAAGAAACAGCCGTTTCATGAACTTCTTGAAGACAAGTAGTCTTTATACCGTCTGGCTTCAAGAGTGCTTGATTGAGTTCTGGGCATTACGCGCTGTAGTTATCGAATGGAAAAACCTTGTATTAAGGTCACCCTCACCCAACCATTTGATACGTGAGTGTTGCCTGAAAAAACTCTCTTCAGTAGCACGTAGACTATCTCTGTAATCTTATATATAATTAGGGAGTTCCTCTTTCCATCTAGCCTATCTACATCAGCAAAAAAATCATTAAATTGTATTTAAAATATTTAATATATGACTATTCATATTTCCTTACATATATTTTAAATATAAATAAAACTAAGAAAAATACACATATCAATTACTTAATTAATATAAAGTATGTGATAACTTAATGTTAAAAGTTATCAAAAAGTTGGAATATAAAATGAAGATGGAGTAAATAAATATTTAACTTGAAATGAAATAGTATATATTTATCTTATTATTCAAAGGATTTATCCTATTTCAAAATGTTATAATATGTTTACAAGTTAAAAGATTGAATATAAATTTATTAAGATATTAGAAAGCTAATGAAAAAATAGAGTTATAGTTTTTTTTTTTAAACAAATAAAAGTCAAGTATATGTAAATTTAATTGCATTGAAAAACATAAATGTTTTAAAGATTGTCATATGTTTGTTTCAAAAATATAATCTATATTTACAAAACTAACATAATAGAAAATAATCAATGATCATGAGGCTCACATGCTACCACATACCAGAACAAAGTAGATATGTAAAAAATTATACATATATATTTTTTTTCATCTTATTTAAAGTGCAAATACGATTTTATATTATGGTTACAAATTCTAACATTGAGTCAAATGCATATGCATGTTTATAGTCTAATAGTAAATAAACATAATATTTGTAACATGCTAAAATTTTAGAAATAGAAAACTCGAGATAAAGTCATAAGAAAATAAAATAAAAGACAAATTGTTCATATTTTTAGTGTTAGTGGTTGGTTTTAATTCAGAACATAACAAAAACATGAAAGTTAACACAAAACCATGATAATTCAAAACAAATGGTATAAAAAGTTAAATAGAAAAACTATCACAAACAACCCCGCACTTGCGCGGGGCTTCAAACCTAGTTACATAACTAATTTTTTATTGGTTTAAATTGATTTCTCTCCCCCTATCAATCTAATTTAAATTTATTAACTTTCACCTATCTTTTTAGTCAATTAGGTATATTCAGTAAAGTTACCCTAACAATTATTGCTAAAATGATGATTAAATATCTTTGAAAAATTGTTTTAAAGAAAAAAGAAAGTTGATCATTGGAAAAAAACTTGCTTCATTTTTTTTCTTCATATATTTCTTTACTTTTTAAGAAAATATTTTTTGAAGAAATAATTTGAAGCATAGTTAGAGACTCTTATAATATTTAAGAAATCATGAAGCCAATAATCACACATAAAAAAAAAAAAAAAAAAAAAACTAAGTGAGCAACTCAGCCAGTATTGTTAAACTGAAATGGAACCGACCTTTTATAAATTACCGTCTGAGTTTATTGTACGTGCGCGCAGTTTTTGAAAGAGGCAAAATTCAAGCAAGTGATCCCGCCGGTGAAGATTGACGACGCCGAAGACATAACGTTTGAGAAAGCGACTAATGCGTTACGGAGAGGAGTTTCTTTCTTCTCAGCTTTGCAAGCCTCCGATGGTCACTGGCCGGGAGAGATCACCGGACCTCTCTTTTTCCTGCCTCCATTGGTATGTTTCTTCTTCATTTTCCTTCCAAATAATGAATTTCTCTATCTGCCAATACGGAAGAGATGTTGCTTGCAGGTATTTTGTTTGTACATCACAGGACATGTTGGATCCGAGATAGCACTCGTCAAGACGGGCTATCTAAGATGTGAGTTTAGGAAACTGGAACGCTTAATTCGACTCTTGGATTATCAAGAAGGTTACAAGAGAGCAATCTCGCTAACAAGCCTAGCGAGATTATGATGATGAACAAGAGGATAGAGTAAAAGCTAATGTGAGAGCCTAGCCTAGTGATTCTAGATGATTTCGGATCCTCTCCCCAATGGGGGGGTCTTCAATATATAGTGTTGATAAGTCGGCCGAATGATGAATATTCTCCTTCAGGCGAGATGGAAAACTTCCTCTTTTGCGATATGGAAAACTTCCTCTTGTTTTTGGATCTTTTTCCATTCTTTAAGTCGGCATGAAGATTTATTTACATTTCTCCATGGATTGTGCCTTTCTCTTCAAGTCTTGCCTTTTTCTTGAAGATGTTAGGCCTAAAATCGGATTGGGCTTTGTGACTTTACTAATGATGACGGGCTCAGGGAAATGTGCTAATTTCTCCTCTAACAATAAGTCCCCCCGCCAGCTCGGCAGGCAAATGTAGTTTGATCTCGGCGAGCTTCATGAATAGAGGACGAGCTTGAGAATCATTAGTAAAATACATCACTTCAATCGGATCTTAGTGCCTAGGTGCATGCTGAATGTAGATTCGTGCCGCCTCATTAAAACCTTGGTACGGAAAAACCCAATTGGGACAAAAACCATAAAAAGGAAAAAGAGTACGTTGACGTCATCTAATTCACGAGTAATATGCTTCGAATGATTTTTGCCGCGACCAAAAATGCTTTCTTGGTTCGAGTGTATGACGGGTTCGGTTTTTAGCTGTGATTTCGTCTTCCTCATTCGCCGATTGGATTTTAGGGTTTTCGATTCGTCGAGTATTTCACCTCGGTTATCGAGTTTTTCCGATTCTCCGTCCAATCAAGATGAAACCAACAGATAGAAAGGGGAAAGGCATTGCCATTGATGACGGCGACGAGACGATTGCCTCGATTGCGCGTCAGACGCGATCCTCCGCTCGTCCGGAGAGGCTTCTTGGCGGAGCCATCCAGGCGGATGCGGCGGAGCGTCGTAGGAAGACGGTGGCGGATGAAGCGACAGCTGCTGCCGATGCCGAGAGGGTGGTTGAAAGGGATGAGATGGAGGAGGCGGCGAGGATCGCCGCCGAAGCCGATCGTTGGGAAGAGGCTGAGAGTGAAGCAGAGGGGAGGAGGAGAGCATGACTCCGGTGACGAAACCGACTCTGATGAAGACGAAGAAGCAGGGCCGTCAGGCAGAGCGAGACTCGAGGGCATCCCTGACGTAATCAAGATGCCGAATCGTACGCCGCCTACGGGCCTAACCCACGATGGGAGGTCGTGGATGATGGAGGAGATCCTTCGAGACCTCATAGCGGATGATGGAGGAGATCCTTCCTGACTCCGTGGAGTTTCGCATCCCAGGCCATCTTGAAAGGCCCTACGACGCTCCGGCTGGGTGGATGTGCCTTTATGAGTGTATGTTCACCGAATTTGGGATGAACTTTCCTCTATCTCCTCTGTTTTTGCAATTTGCGGCTGATCGTGGCGTCCCTACGAGTCAACTGACCCACGGTGTGGTTCGCCACATCGTTTTTACCGAGGCCCTAGCTAGAGCCGCCGGAGTTGTATTCGACCGCCTCGTAATAAAGGACGATGGTGTCGTCAACCGCATAAAATGAATTAAGTACTTGGTTGTCACCGAGTAGGAAATTCGATTATCAGGATGACTCGTTACCTTTAAGTGTATCACGACATGGTGCGCGTGATGGTGCTAGTGCGTCATGACTGGACGCGATGCTCTCCGGTTTCGTCATGACTTCTCATTCGAGACACCGACCGGCGCGTATTAGGTCTGTGTGCTTAGGATGTTAAACCTATTTTCAGCGACGAGCTCTAGAAACTCGATTTATGCTTCCGACTTCAAAGCTTCGTGCGGGTGACGAGGTAGCAGTTTTTCGCTCGTCCGACGAACTGAGAGCCGTGCGAGGTGCGTGCTCTCGGCTTAATGAATGGGTGATCAGTCCATGTTTTTAGGGTGCAAAGTGCAAGTGCTATCAGTCATGTCTCTCTTAGAGTACGAAGGTGCGCATATGATTACTTATTGAGTTTGCATCCATCATATTCGGGTTGTTTGAACGATCAACCGTGAGTGCTGCTTCAGAGATTTGTGATCAGTGTCCATGTTTTTAGGGTGCAAAGTGCAAGTGCTTATTGAGTTTGCCTCAATAACTTGGTTTGACGTCAAACGGGTGCGTGCTGGATGTCGACAAGTTTCAGCTTATGCCAGAATGAGGCGCGCTTGTCGAGAGAAAAGGTTTTAATAAAATAAATTTTATTAAGTATTATAGTTGCGCCCTTGATGAGAAAGGCTGCCTACGTACCCGTGCCGGGATCAAGCCATTCGTAGTTCGTTACAAATGTTCATGCCATGGACATGTCTCTCTTATTTTTTTTTTATTATTATTATTTTTTTTTTTTTTTTTTGGCTAGCGCGGTGCTTCGCGTCTAGTCATGGAACTTGCGCAGATCCGACGAGCTCCAGAGGCGATCGGACGTGGTGCCGAGGTTGTCTTCTAGCTGATAGACACCTGGTTTGACGACTTTCGCGATGCGGAATGGTCCTTCCCAGTCGGAACCGAATTTGCCGAGACCATAGATCGTATCGTCATCGGTTTTGCAAAAGACGAGGTCGTCTAATGCGAAACGGAGGTGTTGCTTTAGGAAAGCGGCTGCTAGATCGTCGAAACTGTCGATGGAGTCGGCACGGAGGTTGCTGAACCATGTTAGGGCGTCGCCGCGCAAGTGTTCGGCGAGGGCTTGGCAGAAGTGCGCGCTTTGTTCTTCCGGCGATGTATATTTCTGTCTTCTCATGGCCGTCATGAAGGATGTGATCCACTGTTTGGGATCTTCTCGGCCATCATAGAAGTTTAGGTGTAGTGAAGCGCGCTTCTTCAGTGGTACCTCGGATAGGCGGCTTGTCAGGGGAGTTCTTCGAATATCGGCAATGATCTCGAATATCTCCTGATCGGAGAACGAGCATTGCGGGGGTGCATGGCGATCAGTCTTCGCGCGATTCTCCATGTTTCTCCTGGTCTCGCCATCGTAGACAGGGGCGTCGTCTCGGCGAGGGAGAGATTCGTGATGGCACCTTGGTGCTTTATGCGTGGACTTCTCCGGGCGAGAGGATGATGACTTTCTCTTGTTTCTTAGCCGGAACCGAGGATCTTCGGGGTCGAACCGTAGCTGCGGGATGTCTTGCTCGAGGCGGATGTAATTCTCAGCGCGGAGGAAGGCGTCCTTCAAAGTTGGGGAGGGGCGGATGCGGATATCTTCCCAGAATCCGGATTCGTATCGAAGTCCGTTTCCGAGGGCTTGGACGAGTACCGGTTCCGCGATTGGGGGTGCTCCCGAATGTCCCTGAGGTCGAGCAGCGCGCTCTTGAATCTGTTCAGGTAGCTTCGTAGTGGTTCGTCCTCGAGTTGCTCCATCTCGAATAGATCGGAGAGATCCTTGTGTTTAGTGCCAAAGCTGGACCTTAAGTCGGATTTCCAGGCGGGCTCGGAGTTCCTTTGCCGATGGATCGGGGGATCTGCATTCGCGTGACGGCTCGTTTTATTGCGTTGGACTCGTCGGTTTCGTCGTCCGATACTGGCTCGGTTATCATACAGGACGACGCGGTGCGGAGCTTGCGCTCGCGGAGGAAACATGATCTCGTCATCTTTGATCTCCACGTAAGGTGAAAATTCCAGAGGGTATCGGAAACTTCACGCATTGGTGGAACGTCGAGATGACAGCTTTCATTTCATGGAGCCATGGGGTGCCGAGGATAGCGTTATAGATGGCCGGTTTGTCCATGACGATGAACTTCAAGAGCTTTGAAATTCCGCCGACATAAACGGGGAGCCGGACTGTGCCACAGCTGTAAACATGCTCGGCGGTGAAACCGGTGAGGGGACGGGATGTAGGTTTGATAGATCCTTCCTCCACCCCATGCGGTTCAGTGTTTCCAAAAAGATGAGGTTCACCGTACTCCCGGTATCAACCAGGACCTTCGCGACGTCACAGTCGTGGATCTGTAGAGTGATTACGAGTGGGTCAAGGTGAGGGATGTCCAGCCCGCTCGCATCCTTATCCGTGAAGGAGATGGTAGGGATCCCTTTATGGATATACGGGTAGCGTTGTGCCGCGACGGCCTTTCGTTCGTATTCCTTGATCGCCGATATGGAATCGTCGTTATCCAGGAAGCCTCCCATGATCATGCTGACTTGTCGCTTCGGTGGCGGGAGGTAGGTCGTCGTGGTCATCACGATTCCTTTTCCCAAGCGGGGCTTCCGCCTTTTCTGCATCCTTCCTCGGACGGGGTTGTCGTCCGCGCTTCTCCTGCTGCCCAGATTTTGGTGGTTTCGCGGGAAGCTTTTTCCTTGGGACCTATCACCGTCCATTGGCGGGATTTCTCCTCGATGGTACATGCGCATGAGGTTGCTCATTAGGTGTTTGCAGTTTTCAGTGGCGTGGCCAGTTCTCCCGTGGAACTTGCAGAAAGCTTTGGTATCGTTGTCATCTTCGAGCGAGTTGATGTCTTGTGGCGTCGAAACGGCCGCTGCGTGTTCTTGCTCGAACTCGTCGTCGGCTGCTGCGAACGCTGTGAGGAGAGACCTCTCGGATCGTGCTCTCTGGATCGCGTGCCTCTTCATGTCGGTTCCTCTCCATGGGTTCACTCCTGGGTTTCGGGTCTACTGCTGCTGCCCTATCTCGATGTTTCTCGGCGTAGAAGCGTTGGTCTTCCTCGAGGAAGATGTAGTTCCGAGAGCGGTGGAACGCGTCCTCCAGAGTCGCAGGGGGTTTTAGTGACAAATCCTCCTTAAACTTGGAGTCGTACCAGAGGCCGTTGCGGAGTGCTTCCAGCGGGACGCTATCGGGCATGTCGCCAGTATCGCGAGCTGCTTGTTTGAACCTTTCCATAAAGCTGCGCAATGGTTCGCCTTGGGTTTGCGTTGTGGTGAACATGTTCCGAGTGATTCGGGTCATGTGCATGGAATAGTGCTTCAGAAAAGCATTGGTTAGGTCGTCGAAGTTATCGATCGACTCAGCGGGGAGGTTAGAGAACCAGGTCAAGGCATCTTTCGCCATGTGCTCGACGAATACTTGACAGTAGTTGGCCTCCCTTGTGCGGGACGGGGGTTGTTCCGTCAGTGGGACTTGACGGATCTTCATCGTCTTCTCGTGCTAGGGCTTCCACCTGTTCCTGAGTCTTTTTCTGCTGTGCTCGCATTGACTCGAAACCGTCGGCGAGCGGCTTGACGAGATTCTCCATGAGTTTGAGGATCTTCTCGCTCGAGGAGGATTTCTTCGAGCTGCGGGGTTTGTCGCTCGAGGAAGATTTTCTCGAGCGGCGTGGTGCGGACGGAGGGGGCTCTCGTCCTTTCTTGGCGGAGGGGATCGTTGCGGCGAAGTCGATCTTCGCGGCGAGACGGATCTCTGTGGCGAGATGGGATCTTGTGGGAGACAGTCCCTACCTTCAGCGGGTAGCGACTTGTCTATCGTGCTGGTAGACTGTCGCTTAAGTTTTCTTCTGAGGGAGACGGGCTCCCGGTGGGAGTGTTCTCTTTCGAGTTCGCCATCGTTGCTAGTTCGTGAAAATCTAGATATCTTCGAGATGAATAGCGAGAAGCGTTTCCAGCCCCACGGTGGGCGCCAATTGTTGAGCACTCGTCAAGACGGGCTATCTAAGATGTGAGTTTAGGAAACTGGAACGCTTAATTCGACTCTTGGATTATCAAGAAGGTTACAAGAGAGCAATCTCGCTAACAAGCCTAGCGAGATTATGATGATGAACAAGAGGATAGAGTAAAAGCTAATGTGAGAGCCTAGTGATTCTAGATGATTTCGGATGACTCTCCCCAATGGGGGGGGTCTTCAATATATAGTGTTGATAAGTCGGCCGAATGATGAATATTCTCCTTCAGGCGAGATGGAAAACTTCCTCTTTCGCAATATGGAAAACTTCCTCTTGTTTTTGGATCTTTTTCCATTCTTTAAGTCGGCATGAAGATTTATTTACATTTCTCCATGGATTGTGCCTTTCTCTTCAAGTCTTGCCTTTTTCTTGAAGATGTTAGGCCTAAAATCAGATTGGGCTTTGTAACTTTACTAATGATGACGGGCTCAGGGAAATGTGCTAATTTCTCCTCTAACAGGACACCTCGAGGAGGTATTCGATGCAGAACATCGCAAAGAGATGCTTCGACATATCTATTGCCATCAGGTACTTTCAACAATGAACTCCTAGGCTCGAATTTTAAAGGATTTGTGATCCTCACATGAGTCCTTTTCTTTGGCTCTTAATAAGCAGAACAAAGATGGTGGATGGGGATTACACATCGAGGGCAAGAGTATAATGTTCTGCACCGCATTGAATTACATATGCTTGCGTATCCTCGGAGAAGGTCCAAATGGAGGACGAGAAAACGCGTGTGAACGGGCAAGAGAATGGGTTCTTGCCCGTGGTGGTGTCACTTATATTCCGTCTTGGGGAAAAATATGGCTTTCGGTAAAATTTTCAGACCATATGTTTACTCTAACTTTGAGAAAGGTTGAAAGTTACATGCCACACTCATTGTTTGATTTTTTTTTTTTTTTTCCTGTATGTAAGATACTTGGAATCTATGATTGGTCGGGAACCAATCCGATGCCTCCCGAGATGTGGTTGCTACCTTCGTTCCTTCTAGTGCACATAGGTTTCGAGATTTTACCAACTTGTTCTACTTGAAATATTTGGAGATATATTAAGAAATACATATCTTGGGGTGTCAATTTTCAAAACTACACATCTATGGTGTTAGTTTTCAATATTATACCTTTTTTTCGAAATTTAACATATAAATTTGGGTTCACTAATCTTTAACTAAGGTTTAGATTTAAAAGATTAAGATTATATATTTAACGGTTTGAGGTTTAGATTTTGGGTTTAAAGTTCTTTTACTCAATGAAAAGTTATGGTTTTGAAAATAGACACTCTAGATTGTAGTTTTCAAAATGTGTATGTTTGAAATTTCCCCAAATTTTTGTCTCTATTTGTAGAATTTGTTTTTAAAATATTTTTCTTCTTGATACCAAATAAATATAGGAAAATTTTGGTGCTATTGTCGAATGGTGTACATGCCCATGTCGTATCTATATGGAAAGCGGTTTGTTGGTCCAATAACACCACTTATTCGGCAACTGCGTGACGAACTCCATTCACAACATTACGAAAAAACCAACTGGAATAAAACTCGACATTTATATGCAAAGGTATGATTGACCATCCTTCTATATTTAAATATCTATATCATGATAGTGTATGCATTTCATCATTCTTTCTTTACCCAGGAGGATTTGTATGTTCCCCATCCTTTGGTTCAAGATTTGATATGGGACACCCTGAACATTTTTGTTGAGCCGCTCCTTAATCGTTGGCCGTTGAACAAGATTCTGAGGGAAAAAGCGCTGCGACAGGCAATGAAACACATACATTACGAAGATGAGAATAGCCATTATATCACCATTGGATGTGTTGAGAAAGTAAATCAGCGAATGGCTTTTTTACAAATTTATACATTTAATAAGCGTATGTTTGAATTTTAAGTTCAACTTTTTTTTTTTCTTTTTTCTTGGGGTCTTTTGTAGGTATTATGCATGCTTGCTTGTTGGGTTGAAAATCCAAATGGGGACTACTTTAAAAAGCATCTTTCTAGAATTCCGGATTACATGTGGGTCGCCGAAGATGAAATGAAAATGCAGGTACTCACAAGCTTCTATTGGAGTTTCACCATTGGTCTCTCATCATTAAAAATGAAAAAAAAATTAAAAAAAAAAAGAAAATAAAAAGAAGAGATACTGATTTTTTAATTTTATGAGAAATTTTATGAGAGTCTCTCTTCTCTATGGTGGGGAAAAGTTTTTTTTTTATATAATTTCATAATTAATTATAAAATAATACACCAATATTTTTTACTGGTGAGATACTATTCCGAATCTCTCACCAATGAAAATGCTTTAAAGGAATTAAAATCCGATATTTAGGTATACCCTAGTATAAAAACTATATTTATGCAGAGCATTGGGAGTCAACAATGGGATACAGGATTGGCGGTTCAAGCTATACATGCTAGTGATTTCTCTGATGAATTTGGTGATGTACTCAAGAGAGGACATGACTACATAAAAAAATCTCAGGTTTGACATTTCTTTTTAAAACCATAGTGTAGCTTGAATTACTCTAAAAATACATGTCAATGTGTTTGACTAAAGTGGAGAACACTGTAGATTAGAGAGAACCCTTCTGGTGACTTTAAGGGCATGTACCGCCACATATCAAAAGGTGCTTGGACTCTTTCTGATCCAGATCATGGATGGCAAGTTTCCGATTGTACAGCTGAAGCTTTAAAGGTAATCCAACAAGTTAGTGATGTCGAAAAAGTTTGCTAGATTTTCCACAGGATTTGTGCCTCTCACTTTCATTGGTGTTGTAGTGTTGTTTACTGCTCTCTAAGATGCCGGCTGAGGTTGTTGGCCATAAGCTAGATCACGAAAAACTATATGATTCTGTTAATCTCTTGTTATCTTTACAGGTAAGGTTAATTCTATATACAACTAATATCTTAAAAAGATGATTGGTTCTTAATAATTTCCATCTAAAATTACGTTCGTTTAACGTAGAGTGAGAACGGAGGTGTACCTGCATGGGAGCCCGTCCGTGCGTATGAATGGATTGAAGTAAGAACTGAAACGCAAGGACTATGACAGTTTTTTTATTTTTTTTTTTATTTGGAAGTTATTAGGACGAGAATGTCTGATGTTTAACCTTTTTAACTGGTGTTTCAGTTGCTCAATCCAACAGAGTTTCTTGCTAATATTGTGGCCGAACGTGAGTACCTGGAATGTACTCACGTTCAAGGAACTCTATCCATATTACAAGACAAAAGAGATCATCACATCCATCGAGAAAGCAGGGCAATTCGTAGAAAGCAAACAAACACCCGATGGTTCATGGTATGTTACCACACTGATAGGGAAATTTCAAAACTACACATTTTTTTTGTCTATTTTCAAAACTACATTTCATTGATTAATAGAACGCTAAACCCAAAATCTAAACCATAAACCCTAAAATGTAACACTAAATCTTTAAATCTAAATCGTAAATCCCAAAATCTAAAGTTCTAGTTAAGGACTAGTGAACCCAAACTCAGATGTTAAATTTTGAAAAATGTGTAATTTTTGAAAATTAACACAATAGAGGTGTAGTTTTGAAAATTAACACCCAAAAGGTGAATTTCTTAAACTTTCTCTTAAAAGGTGAATTTCTTAAACTTTCTCTTAATATAATTCATAGACGATATAATAATAGTATGCAGAATAATACTTGGAGCTTAATTTTTTTTTTAGGTATGGAAATTGGGGTGTTTGTTTCATTTATGCCACATGGTTTGCTCTTGGCGGCTTATCAGCTGCTGGTAGAACATATGAAAATAGTCTTGCTCTGCGTAAAGGTGTTGAATTTTTGCTCACAAAACAGAAAGATGATGGAGGTTGGGGAGAAAGCTATTTGTCATCCTCTGAAATGGTATTTTTACAGATCATCAACATGAAGTGTGTAGTATATGAATTTGACCTAAATTATCGAAAAAGGCATTGATCTTTCTCACATGGTGTCTATGTAGAGATACATACCATTAGAAGGGAAACAATCTCACCTGGTGCAAACTTCTTGGGCAATGATGGGGCTGATTCACGCCGGACAGGTCTAAACATTCCATTACGCATTTGCATTTTTTTTTTTTTATGAATATAACGAAATTTCCTCAATTTGTTCTGATGTTATTATGCATATGTGAAATACCAGGCTGAAAGAGATCCAACACCTCTTCACCGTGCTGCACAACTTATCATCAATTCGCAACTGAAAAGTGGAGATTTTCCTCAACAGGTTAACTATATTCTTTGATAGAAATATGAGTCTAGCGATTACATTTATGTTCTTGCATATTTTTAATAATAAAAAAATGGTATATGCAGGAAATAGTAGGCTCGTTCATGAAGAATTGCATGTTACACTATGCTACCTACCGAAACACTTTCCCAGTATGGGCACTTGCTGAGTACCGGAAAGCTATGTTCGTAACTCATTAAGATCCGTAGCTTTTCCTAAACACCTGCGCATATATGGTTTACATATCAAGCTCCACTGTTTGGTGTGGAAACCATATAACTCATGCCTGGCTTCACATCTCCACGGCATAAGTCGTTTATGTACTGAGTTATTAATTTAAGTTGTCGCTTTTTGTAACACCCACTCAACTTTCTGCGAAACCTAGGAGAAGGAGAAACCAAGAAACCTTTTGAAAGACCATTCTCATTCATAACTTAATCATAAAAGAGTCTAAAAGATAAAACTTTTAAGCTTAAAATCTAAAGATCTGTTTTCAGATCGGAGAAGCTGGAAAAGATCTGTGTCGCAGTCAGAGTGAAGCCGCCAACGCCGGAATTATCACCGGAAAACGGATCTTCTTAAGGACATGCACCTATCTTCAATGTCACAACACAACGACACAACACATCAAATTCAAAGTATGAAGTATCCCACATTTATCTTTTTGTTTTCCTTGTTAACAACTGAAATATCCCACATTTATCTTCACCGCTATATAAGTAGAAAGGGCCACTAATTATTCAATCGTTAAGCAAAAAACAAAAGTAGATCTTAAAAAGTCTATATTATACGTAAATGTTAGATCTATAACTTGAAAACAGAAATATACCCTACAGTACGTGACTATAGTATGTAGGTAACAAAACATATATAAAAACACAGACTTTCCAAATTCATTTGTATAATAATCATTAAAATATCTTGATGAATCAATTCCAAAATATGTACTGCAGCTACCAGCGTTAAAGAACAAAAAAATAAGGTTGTGTGTGACTGTGTACGAAGAAGGAAAAAGAGTGATGTGTATCAAGTGATGGGATCTCCTCGGTGGATATCATAAAGCTCTTCATCAATAGAAACTCAAATCTAATTGTGTCGCTTTCTTTCGGCCGACATATCTTGGGGTTGTTTCTAGACCCAAAATTGTGGTCAAATGCAAAAGTAACCTCCTGTTTTTTCATTTTAAGTTTGTCCAGTTTTTTCCAATTAATTACGGAATGCCATTACTTTTTCGATTGGTAGACCGATATTTAGGTCTACCAGATCTGCTGAAAGACCAAACACCCCTCATCTTCTACACTTAATTGCCAAAATGCCATATCATCAATGTTGACAACCACCATTTTTACCCAATTTGGAGCTGTTAATGCTCCGAAAACTCACTTTGGAGCTAGCATTTCTCCTTCTTTCATCTCACAAACTCTTATTTTCCATTTTCTCTCCATTTTCATCCCAAAAACTTAAAAGAAAACTCAAATCTTGGGTCTTGGCATTTCCAATTGTTTAGCTTACGGTGATGACCGGAACTCGTAATTGAAGGCCTAAATTGAAGTTATCAGCCCTCGAAGAGCCTTTCTCCGACGGCCAGGTAACTTTTCTTTCAAAATTTAAGAATTTCAGTTTTGGTCTGCGAAGGTAGACTGAAGTGTAGGTCTACCATTACATAGTAGACCTCAGTTTAGGTCTACTGGTCAACGCAGAGTTGACTGTGCCATTTCCTTTGCAAACAAAAAAAATGAGTGGTAGACCTACACTTAGGTCTACTCCACGTGGAGGGTTAGTTTTGCAATTGATTGAGAAAAATGTTTTTTTTGAGGTCTACCTTGTCGGTCTACTCCACGTGGAGGGTTAGTTTTGCAATTGATAGAGAAAATGTTTTTCGGAGGTCTACCTCTTAGGTCTACCTAAAAAAAAAAGTTGGTTTTGCCGTTGACTCAAGTTTGACTTTCCTCAAAAAGGAGAGATTTTGCGTCATTGAGGTCTACCGTGTAGGTCTACCATCGGTAGACCGCAAGTGAGGTCTACTGGTCAACGCAAAAAACTGAGGTCTACCACGGAAGTCTACCCGAGGAAAGTCAAACTTGAGTCAACGGCAAAACAAACTGTTTTCGGTAGGTAGACCTAAGGCGTAGACTAATTCAGAGGTCTACTTTTTTTGGTAGACCGATTGAGAGGTCTACGTTTTCTGGTAGACGTACACGGTAGACCTTGTGAAAAAGTCAACGTTTGGTCAATTGCAAAACTAACCCTCCACGTGTAGTAGACCGACAAGGTAGACCTCCAAAAAAACATTTTTCTCGATCAATTGCAAAACTAACCCTCCACGTGGAGTAGACCTAAGTGGAGGTCTACCGTGAACGTCTACTCCGAACGTCTACGTTTTAGGTCTATTATTATGTGTTTTTTAAAATGTCGTTTTCCTTTCAATATATCAAATATTTTGAAATTTTCTCGAACAGTTAGTTGTTTTTATTTGTTTACTTGCTTCTGTGTGAGTTTGAAATGTTCTTTCGGCGTAATTAAGGCTATATTCGGTTTTCTTTTGAATTAGGTATCTAGCTTAATTTTCTGGTAGACCAAATTGTGGGTCTACCTTGTCGGTCTACACCTTCTGTCTACTAATCCATTTTGTGGTCTGGTTTGTTTTTGTTGCAGGTAATGGTTTGTCTAGCTTCCGTTTATGGAAAATGGGTGGTGATGGAAGACAAGTCATGGCATTTTGAGATGGATAAAGGAAAAGGAGGGAGAATGTTCTACTTACGGGATGGTTGTACACATGAGGAGCCTCTTAGAATGGTACAAGCTGACTATATGTTGGATATGGAAGCAGACTGGTGGAATTATCTTATCCATTACCGATGTGATGCTCCATCAAATACCCTCAGACTTTCCTCATATGTACATCACCAACGGGCAGGTTCATAGCTTGATAGAGTTTATAGTTGTTCGAAGTGCAGCAACCGGGACACCCGCCTTCATTGCGTAAGCTAATGTAACTCACAGTGTGTTCATGGTTTCTGTTTTTTTATTACATGAGTTTTATAAAATTGGATTTTGAACTGATGTAGATGAACAACACAGAGATAGACTGAAAATAAGGTCTACTTTAGAAAGGTAGACTAAATATGAGGTCTACAAATGCGATCTACAACTCAGATCTACGTAGTAGATCTACTTTGTGCTATTTTCAAGTTTTTATGTAAGTTTTCAGTCAGATTTGATCTCTTTGAAGAAACAAAACCTATATTAATAATAAGTCATGTATTGATCTCTTTCAAGAAACAAAACTTGTGTATCAAATAAGTGCAAATATCAAAAGAGACCATGACAATAATAATGAAAGTTTTTTATTAGAGAAGCAAAGTGTTACAATCAAAATTGAAAAGAAAAACTGAAATCCAACAAGTAACATGAGGCCTACTTTAGAAAGATAGATTAAAAATAAGGTCGACGATGAAGATCTACGTGCAAGGTCTACACCAGTGGTCTACGTAGAAGGTCCACACCAGAGGTCTACGTAAAAAGTCTACAGAACCTTTTTCTCTTGGAGATTGTTATGCGCAAAGAGGAGAGGCCTCTCACCAGCAGCTTCTGTAGTGAGACCTTTTCTGGAAACAGAAATAGAGAATTTCCCTAAACTTTGGAGCTGATTTGCAGATGAAATATACCTCTGAATGGACAACTGAAAGAAGATCTGAAAAGTTGGGTTGGAGATCTTCAAAACCGCATGTAGATCTACTCCTCGTGACTTATGAATCGTCAGGAAATTGCTTCATAAAACCTTCACAAAAATAAATTCGGATATCTTAAAACAGATCTAACGTCATAAGAAGAAGTATCCATAACTCTCTGAATATAACTCGATTTACCGTATGGATGTTCTGGAAAGCTGAGAAGACGATCTTTCCGATGGTACCAAAATCAGCTTCTGATACTTTATGAAACGGTTGGAAATCGCCCCGTAATTGCTGGAGGAGAGAGCTGGAGGGAGGGAGGGTCGTGGGAGTCAAGAGGAGAAGTCTTCGTAAGCAGATCTGAAGGGGAAAAAGCCAACTGCAGCGGTTCTAGATCTGGATCTGGAGGACACAGATGAATGGTGGTGGTTCAAGGAGAGGGAGGCGCCGTTTGAAAAAAAGAGAGTTATTGTTGAGGCTCAAATCTACAAAGAAAAGAGAGTTCAGATCTGCAAAACCAACAAAAAGAAAGGGAGCTCAGATCCACAACCAAAAGAAACGAAGATAAACATGTTATGCATAAGGAGATCCTCCTTCATCCGGAGGAACCAAAGGAAGAACTTGCGCAGATCTCATCGGCCACCGCCGCAGATCTCAAGCACCGATGGCTCCACAGACGAACGCCGGAGAGAGAGAGAGAGAGAGAGAGCGAGAGAGAGAGAGAGAGAGAGAGAGAGAGAGAGAGAGAGCGAGAGAGAGGCGAGCGCCGTTTAAGAGAGGGGTTGGTTTTTTATTTTTAACAAAATTAGGGTTTCTTGTTTCTTTTATATCATGAGATAAATATTCCGGTTTAATAAAAATTCCGGTTCAATTAGATTTAGGTCTACCACTTCGATCTACTTGAAATGTCTACCGCTTTAGTCTACAACGAAATTACCGAAACATCGTTTCAATCTCAGCCGTCGGTTTGAAACTTCGGGATTCCCGCTAGGTTAAAACAGGTGGTAGACCTCCACTGCGGTCTACTCTATTAGTCTACCTGTAGGTCTACTTTACCCTAAACCCTAAATCGAACAATTTATACACAATTTTGCCATGATTTGCTTGCCATATTGTCAATTTACAGTGTATATCACAAATAAACGAACATTGAATTGTAAAACCAATCAAAAACAATTACAGTAAAACCTCTATAAAGTAATACTTGATAAAGTAATACCTCGATAAATGAATAGAATTTTCAAGTTCTGAATTAAGTTTTTGGTCTAATTATCTCTCGATAAATTAATAATCTCACTAAAGTAATAAAATATTGTGGTCCCAACATTATTATATTGTGTTTATCTATAAATAATTTTCATCAATTTTTTTTTTTCAATTTTTATAATTAAAATTAAAATTTAATGACATAGTAGATTTACTTGATAGACCTCACACATTTTTATAGATTTTAACCTATATGTCTTTGCTTATCTATAAATGATTTATTTGTATGCATTCATATTTTTGATAGATGATAATGTCTATATTAGAATTATTCATACTTGTTTTCGTATAAAAATATTTTTTTATTAAATTGTTAATTAAAATTTAAGATGTTATTACGAGGTAGACCTCTAACATTGTCTACTAAGTAGATCTCTGGGGTACATCTACCTGCTACGGAGGTTAAAATCATAATCGAGATATGCGTTTTTTTTATTTGTTTATGAGGGAGTGTGGGGTAATTTTACTACATATGGAGGTTAGTTTTGCAATTGATTCAATTTGTGGTCTAGAAAAAATGAAAATTGTGGTCTAGATTTAGCAATTCACCCACATATCTTCGCACAAGTTCTACATATATTTTTATCATTTTAGTTCAACCCTAAACAAGTACTCCTTCTATTTTCTAATAAGTGTCATTTTGGAGAAAAAAAATTGATCACAAATAAGTGGCTTTCTTATAAATCAATGCAAAAATTAATGTATTTTTGTTCTTTTGACTGTTTAAATTCTGCAGATTAGCTTTTTATTGGTTGAGTTGTGTTGGAATTGATGATAAATCATGTATTATTTTGAAAAAAAATAAAAAGTTAATAATTTCTTAATCTTTGTGCGTAAGGCTAAAAGGATTATTTGAGAACAAAGAAAGTATATTTTTAGATATTTATGATGTCGGCTATAAAGGATACCGAGGAAAAAGTGAAAGAAGAAAGAAAGACACAGCTTCTCTTTCTTTCTCTTATGATATTACCATGTATGATAATGGTTCACTGCTCGTTGATTCGCAAACTGAAAATGCTATTTTTTCACTCAAAATCACCCGTAAATATTATTTCACAAAAGATGAGACAAATATATACTGAATCTTATATTTCGTGGGATAATGGTTATTGGGTTTAGAAGTGTAACATCCATAAACCAAAAATTGGGAATTTCGTCGGTTCAATTTAAGTGATTTGGTTTGGGCCGGTTTAGTGGAGAAAGCCCTAAAATCAAGTTTAAAGAGTGCAGCCGTCTTCTCTTTAGGAAATTTTCGAGCTCAAAGGCTGCAGAGGAGAAAAGTGGAGTTTTTGGAGAGATTTTCGATTTTTACTGTTCATCGGGTTACTGTTCATCGGGGTACTGTTCATCGGGGGTACTGTTCATCGTCGGGATTTCGCACTGTTCATTGTCTTTCCTTCAGTTTCAATCCATTGTCAAGGTGAGTGCATGACTGTGGGTCCGTGATTTGCTAGATTAGATTTGGTTTGTGGTTGTTCTTGATGAGTTTATGTTTTAATTGTTATTTTTATGATATTTTGGTTGTTTATGTGATGAATTGTGTGTTTGTGTGGTTTAATCTGGTTTAGTTGAATTAATTGATTTAATTGGTTTATCTTGGTTTAAATTGATTTAATTCTGGTTAATTGGTGTAATTGAATTAAAATGTTTTAATTCTTGTTTATTTATTTTCGGATTTAATTAATTAATGGTTAATTTAATTAATTAATTGATTTAAAATAATTATTTTAATTATTTTAAAATATGGAAAATTATTATTTAATTATGAGAATTATTTAATAATTGAGAAATAGAGTTTTAATTATTAAAAATTATTTAATAATTTATTAATAATGGAAAATGATTTAATAATTATTGGAGTTTATAATAATTATTAAATGTCTAGTAAATTGCGTAAATGGCTCGTAGGCAGAGTGATTGCCTCACTAAGTATTTATTAAATACTTACGCAACTCCATTCCAATGTGTTGCAGGTAAAAGATTTGTGTGATCGCGGAATCAAGGCTGAAGAGGGGGATGATAGGATGTTTATTGCTTTTATTTATTTTGCATTGTTTTGCTAGACTTGTTTAATTATTATTTGCTTCCGCTGAACTGATTTATTTGTTATTGATATTTATTTATTTATTTATTTTAAAGACCTTCGCTAGAATTGATTAGTATTTATTTATAAAAAAAAAAAGTGTTGGTTGTTTCAAGAAGTTAGAACATATTTTGTGGAAGCTTACATGCACATTCTATGCAGTACCTTAAGGATAACCATTTCTCAAAAAAAATTATATATACACTAAATATCATGATAGCAACCATTTTATCCATTAAAATAAAAATGAGGTTGTTATCATGATATTTAGTGTGTATATATAGAGAAATGGAGCCATAGTAAACGGCCAAACCAAAACTGAACCACGAAATTGACTTGGAGGAAAATAAAACCAAACTTATGACTTGTGGCTAGATGGATATCCATCTATGAAAAGTGTCATTGGTTTGGTTTTATTTTCCTTAAAGTAAATTAGGAGAGAACCGCGCAATGCGCGGGTTTATTAAACCAAATATTTTTAATTTAATTATTCAGAACATTAGATTCGAATATATCATTTGTTTTTTACTCGAATATATTAGATTCTGTAAGTTTTGCATTTTGTTTTTTTTCATATAGTTTTAAAATTTAGTTGTTATTTACGTGAAATCTTATATAGACTCATAGTGAATAGTTTCATATGTTTTTTGTTCTTTTATACAATAATTTATCGACTGGAGTTGAGTTCTTCTAATTTTCCTTATACTAACAATCATTATAGATTGATTATTATCCTACAGACTCATAGATAATAATAATTGCAATCCTTTTTAAAAGGAAATGAAATGAGCTAATTAGCCAGTAAGCCCATTTAAAGCTACCATGGAAACGAAGAGGTCCGATAAATAATCAAGCCCATCAAAACGAACAGCATTACACATAATTTTGATTTAGATTTTTTT